AGGGCCGTGTCTACATCCAACGACTGACTGAGGCAGGTATATACATGCTTGGCTATTTGAGCCAGTGCTGGACGACTCAGATGCATCTCCCAAACCTGCTTCCTGTCCCTTCCTTCCACAGGTGCTAATCCTAAAGTTATTCCCTAATAGACAGCCACAACCTTAGTCCATGATGAGTCTGCTTCCCAAAGAACCCAACTTGCAACACGTGAATTTGAATTTCAACTAATTAGGAGTCCTGTGATCTTGAGGAAGCAATAATTTATTTTCTGTTAGACTTAATTTCCATCTCTGAAAAATGGGAATAATAAGTCATTTCTTCATTGGATTGTTGTAGTGCACTTAGTTTAATACTGGTGCAGAGTAATCACTCGTAAATATTATATCATAATCTTGGGAGAGTTATAGAACTCCTGTGAGTCTTAGATCCTTTACCTAAAAATGAGAATAATACCACTTACATTCAGGAATTTAGTAAGGATTGTATGACATGTATTAGGTACTCAATAGATATCACCCTCCTCCTACCATTTTCCCTTTAACATATCAACAGTACCTTTACATAGTGAATTTAAAAAATAATTCATGTTTATTTTCTTTCTCTTTATTGGTTACTCTTTATCAGAGTATAGGGTGGTTGTATTTGGAGGAGGAAAACTAAACGCAGAGCAGAAAGGTGGGGCTAGAGTGCAGCTCTGGTTTAGCACCTCTCTTCCATCACAGTTCAAAGGCCATTCCTCCAGGAAGCTCATCCTGACTGACTCAACACATTCCACAAGACTCACATAGAAACTTTGACTCCCCTCTCTTTTCCACTTTTGTAAGCCTTATAATGATACATTCCTGTGGATGACAGGATTTCTATGTTAATATTGTCTCTGGGAAGTGGGGAATCATACCTGTTTTTCAAACAGGTGTTCATTGGTTACTCTGCTAGTTCACGGTGACTGACTCTTACAACAGTGCTGAGTCCTGTCTAGCCCTGCGAGATGCTCTGGAATTCCTGCAGAGTGGATGAGGACTACAAGAGCTAGTTGCGGTCTTCTGAGGCCATGTGGTCCAACTCTGTCACCTTAGTCATGAGGAAACTTTGTGTAGGTCAGCTCTCTTTAGATGATGATATTTAAAGGCTCGTGTGAAATTTTGGTAGCCTCATCTTTCTTACGGCTCCTCTGTTTTATAACTTGATACTCTGTTTTTGCTCTGAAGCTGGTCAGTTGTAGGAACATTGTCTTACACTGACACCTACTGGGCAGGTGGGAAAAGAACTGGTATCAGCCACACTGGTGTTTACAGCTAGAAGCAGAATTCTGTCTTCCTCAATGGGTTTATCTTTAAGAAGCATCTTTCTTACAAATCTCCTAGTTTTAAGCTTTCTTTGCCCACTTCTCCTACTACATGTAAGGTCTGTAGTGGATTTTAGGTTTCTCGGGCATGATGATTTCATCCAGTTAACATGTTAAAAGCCCAAAATACTTTTAATCAATGTCATTCCACAGACATACTTACCATTTAATGATGAACAATAATCACGCTCATTCAGTGTGACCTTAATTCTGCAAGCACCGCAGCTCTGAACAGCTGATGTCAAGTGGGTCCAATGCAGAGGATGGGGGCATTCTTCCTCCTTGATTCCCCCATTGGTGGGAGCAGCCAGGTGCCCTCTAATCTGGATCAAAAGCTCTCCACGATGGCACAAACCATCCATGATGAACGTGGTAAATTCTTTCCTTGAAGGTTTCTCTGGGGAATCACGACCCCAGTAAAAATTCATCCAAGTGTTTCATTATCCTCATGCAACTGTGTTACAAAACCATCTCTCCCTTGCTTTTATTTAAAAGTTTCTTTTGTTTGTTCTCCTAAGGTTTGGAAATGATTAATCAAATTCTACTCAGGGAAACTTTACAAAATATACCAGTAGGTTATATTCTAATTATCTCCTTACCAAGCCCTTTGCTGGCAGGAAATGAGCCCTTAACTAGTGTTAAATGTGGTATAGCATAGTAGTAAAGAGCTTTAGAGTTAGGCAGTAGTATTTATATATATATATTTAAGAAGGCTCTACACCCAACATAGGACTTGACTCATGACCTGAGGATCAAGAGTTGCATGCTCTACTGACTGAGCCAGTCAGGTGCCCCCAAACCCTTTGCACTGTACTTTTTCTTTAGTTAATAATTAATCACTTTTGCCATATCTACTGAGGGAACGAAGACCATTCTCAGCAATCAGACTGTCGACATTCCAGAAAATGTCGCCATCACTCTGAAGGGACGTGCTGTTATTGTAAAGAGCCCCAGAGGAACACTGTGAAGGGACTGCAATCACATCAATGTAGAATTCAGTCTCTTTGGAAAGAAAAAGAAGAGGCTCTGAGTTGACAAATGGTGGGGAACAAGAAAAGAACTGGCTACTGTTTGCATGGTCTGTAGCCATGTAGAGAACATGATCAAGGGCGTTCCACTGGGCTTCCGTTACAAGATTAGGTCTGTGTATGCTCACTTCCCCATCAATGTTGTTATTCAGGAGAACGGTTCTCTTGTTGAAATCTGAAATGCCTTGGGTGAAAACTCTATCCACAGGGTTTGGATGAGGCCAGTTGTTCCTTGTTCAGTAGCTCAAGCCCAGAAAGGTGAGTTAATTCTTGAAGAGGATGGCATTGAACTTGTCTCAACTCTGCTGCTTTGATTCAGACAAGCCACCATGGTTAAACACAAGGGCATCAGGAAATTTTTGGATGGTATCTATGTTTCTCAAGAAGGAACAGTTCGGCAGGCTGATGAATGAGATCTAAGTTGTCCAGCTACAGAAACAACAAGATGCCGGATGTTTTTTCAGATTTATTTGTGATATTTTATTTTTTTAAAGATTTTATTTATTAGAGAGGGAGAGAGAGAGAGCGTGCAACAGCAGGGGAGGGAGAAGTAGACTCCCCTATTTGTAGTATTTTAAAGATGCAGTAAAAGCTGTATTGATTTGGGAAAAAAATAATGTAATCATTAAAAGTACTTTCTAATGAGTTCTAGTTTATCTCATGTGGTGTGTGTGTGTACATATAATAGAATATTATTCAGCCATACAAAAGAAGGAAATTCTGTCATTTTTTGATGACAATGTGGATAAATGTGGAGGGCATTATGCCAGATGAAATAAGCCAGCCAGAAAAAGACAAATATTGCATGGTATCACTTATATATGGGATTAAAAAAAAAAAAAAAGACAAGGAAGTTAGACTCATGGAAGCAGAGAATAGAATGGTGGTTTCCAGGAACTGGGAGATTGGGGAAATGAGACATTGGTCAAAGGTTACAAACTTTCAGTTATAAGATGAATAACTTCTGAGGATGTAATGTGTAGTGTGGTGACTATAGTTAATAATGCTGCATTGTCTGTTTGAAATTTGCTAAGAGAGTCGTGCAAACACACAGGATAACTATGTGAGTGATGGTTATGTTAATTAGCTTGATTGTGGCAAACATTTCACAACATATAGATACATCAAATCATGTTGTATGCTTTAGATACATATGATTTTATTTGTTATTCATACTTCAGTAGAGCTGAAAAAAGAGAAGAAAGGAAGACAGCACCCAGGGTCTAGCCTGAGCCTTCCTCTCTTCATGTTTTCTGATTGTCACAAATGATCTCTGTTTTTCTCTCAAACTTCTCAAACTTTGGTCCTCATATTGTCTGTTTCAGACTTTAAAAAATGGTCATAGGGATTTATTTGTTAAACAAATTTGAGCTCCTACAAAGTGCCAGCATTCGGGGTAGAGCAGTGAATAAAACTATAAAATTTCTTGGCTTTGGGGTGCCTGGGTGGCTCAGTTGTTAAGCGTCTGCCTTCGGCTCAGGTCATGATCCCAGGGTCCTGGGATCGAGCCCCGCATCGGGCTCCCTGCTCCACGGGAAGCCTGCTTCTCCCTCTCCCACTCCCCCTGCTTATGTTCCCTCTCTTACTTTCTCTCTCTCTGTCAAATAAATAAATAAAATCTTAAAAAAAAAATTCTTGGCTTTATAGAGCTTTTATTCCAGGAGAGGAGGATGGAAAAGCAAATAAAGCATATGATTTGTCAGATGACCAAAAAATGCTAAGTAAAAAATTAGGGCAAGAAGATTGATGGGATTTTGTGTGTGTGTGTGTGTGTGTGTATTGGGGGGACATGGTTGCTCACTGCTCATAGAGCTATATGGGGGGCAAAGGAGCTCTGGGCTTCTTGTGGTGACACAAAACGGATTAAACGTATGCTGAGGTTGGTCTTGATGGTCTCAAGGAAGATAGTGGTGTGGACTGGGAGGGTTGGAGAGTTGGTAGATTGGGCTCTTGCCAGAAGCATGAACAGTTCCCTGCCAAAGGCAGTGTGGAAGAGAATGTGGGGAGGATTTCCCTGATCTTATCTGGAGCTTAGAACGTTGGTGGGCTTCCCTTTTGATTCCCTCAGTTAGGCAGTGGGAACTTTGTAAATGTTGACTTCTTGAGACTCAGCCCCTGATGAGCATTTAAAGAGGGAGAGAGAAGCAGAAAGCAGCTCAGATGTTACCTTCAAGAAGCCTATTCTGTTTCTTAGGAACACAAGAGAGTAGTGGAGAATCTGATATAGTCCATCAGGGTATCAGCCCTCTTCCATGAGCAGCTATCCTAAGGTGTGATACCAAGAAGTACTGGTAAGAAAAGATTTAGTAAACATGGCAGAGTGGAGGGGGCACTGGCTGGGAGAGTCTGTGTTCTCTAGGCTGCCCGACTCCTGGCATGCTGCACTACTCCAAGGCTGTTTCTTCTTCTCTATAATGAGGAGGCTGGCCTCTGCCATTCATTTCTGATACAAAATTCCATGACTGTAAGAAGAAGTTGGAATTTTATCTCTGCTGTTGGAGTTTTGAATAGAAAATAGAGGGCTTTAGAGCATAGATAAGAGTTTTTATTTATTTTTTCTTTTCAGTTGATTTTGGAGGAAAGGGACTCAGGAAAGGAAGAGTTGGCTTTTGTTGTTGGCTTAGAGAAGTAGATTACATTTCTTGGATCTTAGCCAAACATAACAAAGTGGATCCTTCCAAAGAGTGAGAAGAATTTGTTTGGCAGAAGAATTGCTGCCTTGATCAAGAAAGCTTTTCCACTCAGTTTTCTGGAAGAGGGAGAAAAAAATCCTGGTAAACCGACTTAAATGCCCCCATTGGGAAGATGCTTCATCCCTCTAGGCTGAATTAGTTGCTCCATCCTCTGTTTTCACTGAAAGGTGGAGAGCAAGTTGGAGCCAAGGGATAGAAGAAAGGCAGAGGACCCCATGCAGGAGCAGCAAAGCATGTAAGATGAACATTTACTAAATGTGTGATGAATGAATGAATAAATGAAAGAATGAAAGGAAGTTAGGACCAACCAAAAGGTAAGGGGAAATGGAGAGATCTGAAAACTTGACTAAAGGTAGCTTATGAGCATTTGGAGAAAGAGTCATCACCAGGACCCAACACGGCTTCATCAAGGACTGGTCTTGCCAGTAATCTCACTGGTAGAGTCTTCAGACTTGTAGGTTGGAGGAAGCCTGTGAACATAATCTATCTTAATTTTAGAAAAGCAATTAAAGTCCTCCTTGATTTTTTTTGGGGGGGGGGAGTTGAGATGGTGAAATGCAGACTTAATCATATGATTAAGTTAATTTCAGCTGGTAGAAATAACTTTGTTCAAATAGTGTTGATTATGTCATTTTTCTTCCTAGAATGAGGCATCTAGTGGAGTGCCATAGAGTTAAGGTCTTAGGCCTGACTGTTCAACTTTTTGTTTATGATTTCTTTTGCAATAACTATAAATTCACAAGAAGTTATAAAAAATGTATAGAACCATGTATGCTTTTCTCTGTTTCTTCCTTTGATAACATTTTGTATAACTATAGCGTGATATCAAAACCGGAAAAGTGGTGTTGGTACAATCCACAGAGTTTATTCAGATTTCACCCAGTGTTACATGAATGTCTTTGTGCGTATGTGTAACTCTGTGCAACTTTAGTACATGTATAAATTCATGTAACCCCACCACAATCAAGATCTAGAACTGTCACCATGAAGCTCTGTCTTACTATCTCTTTACAGCCACATCGACATCCCATCCCTAACCCTTATCTGACAACCACTTATCTGTTCTTCACCTCTATAATTCCATTATTTCAAGAATGTTGTATAAACGGAATCATACAATATGTAATGTTTGAGGTTGGCTTTTTTCGATGAGTATAATTTCCTTGAGATCCAACCAAGTTGTATGTATCAGTAGTTTATTGCTTTTTATTGCTGAGTAGTGGTTCATTGTATGGACATACCACAGTTTAACCATTCACCTGCTAAAGGATATTTGGGTTCTTTCCAGTTTGGGGCTATTATTAATGAAGCTTTTTGGACATATTTATACAGGTTTTTGAGCATAAGTTTTAATTTCTGTGGGATAAATGCCCGAGAGTGCAACTGCTGGGTTATATGATAATTATATATTTAATTTTATGATTCAGCAAATTACTATCCAAAGTAGCTGTACCATTGTACATTCCCATCAGCAGTGCATGTGTGATCCAGTTTCTCTGCATCCTGGCCAGCATTTGGTGTTATCACTATTTTAAATTTTAGCCATTCTGGTATGTGTATAGTAATACCTCATTGAGGTTTTAATTTGCATTTCCCTAATGGGTAAAATGGTTAACATCTTTTCACGTGTATATTTGCTCTCTGTATATACTCCTCTGTGAAACCTTTGTTTATGTCTTTGTGCATTTTCTAATTGGATGGAATTGGATTATTTGTTTCCTACTGTTGAGTTTTGAGACTTCTTTATATATTCTAGATACAAGTCCTCTATCACATATGTGATTTGCAAATATTTTCTCCCAGTGTAGAATTGATCTTTGTATGCTCTCAACAGTGTCTTTTGCAGAAGTTTTACATTTAATGAGGTCCAATTTATCAAGTTTTCCTTTAATGGATCATGATTTTGGTGTAAAATCTAAAATTTCTTCACCTAATCCTGAAGATGTTCTCCCCTCTATTTTCTAAAAGTTTTATCATTTTGTTTATGTTTTACATTTCGGCCCATAAGCCAACTTTTAAGGTCAAAGAGGTTGAAGATAAGATAGGTGTGCAGGTGATGCAAGCCCATGGAATACAGGATAAACTAGGAAGATAACAGGGGCACCTGGGTGGCTCAGTTGGGTAAACACCTGACTCTTGATTTTGGCTCAGATCATGATCTCAGGGTCTTGAGATTGGGCTCTGCACTGGGCATGGAGCCTGCTTAAGATTCTCGCTCTCCCTCTTCCTTTGCCCCCCCCCCCCTCTCCTTCCCTCTCTAAAAAAAATAAAAAATTATAAGCATGCAATATCAGAGTTTAGTGTGATGGTTGAGAATGTGGGTACTGGAGCCAGACAGCTTGCTTACTAATGCCTGCCCTGCTTGGGAGTCCTAGGGAACTCATAATCTCTGTGTCTTAGTTTTTGTATCTGCAAAATGGGATTAATGAGAGTACTTGCCTTAGAGGGTTGTTTTGAGAACTTAATGAGATGATATAAACCCTAGAGCACTTAGAGCTGCCCTTGAAGAAATGCTGCCTATTATTATATAAAATCTGGGCAGTTACAGGGGAGAGGAGACCTGACAAAGGAGGGACTGCATGTGAAAAAAATCCTGGTATATGCAAAGCATTGGAGAAGTAACTTAACTTACTTGAAAAATTTTTTTAAAGATTTTATTTATTTGACAGAGAGAGAGAGAGAGCACCCGCAAGCAGGGGAGGGGTAGAGGGCAGAGGGAGAAGCACAGTCCCTGCTGAGCAGAGAGCCCAACGCAGGGCTCAATCCCAGGACCCTGGGATCATGACCTGAGTGGAAGGCAAATGCTTAACCAACTGAGCCAGCCACCCAGGTGCCCCCTTACTTGCAATTTTTAACTTAAATCTTTGCACAATTTTTGTCCAATTATATATGCTTATAAACATGTCTTCATCCAGAAATAGCAAGGTTTACATAGGTTCAAAATAACAAGGGATTTAAATCCATCCAGTGAAAACAAGAGTCCATTGTTTAGGACTGTATAGATACTCAAATGCAGTTTTCATATTCTTGTTGACATTTTACAAAGCAAAGGCATTATTTTAGATTATCAGCTACTAGAAAATGGTCATGATTTCTGTGCAGGTATCATAACCCAGCAGTAGGGAAAAAGGGCATTGCCAGAGTTGATATTTATAACTTGATGTGGGGTCAGGTAGGTTCTCAGCTTCTCATAGTGGGGACTTCCGGGCCCCCAGCCCTTGGTACCACTAACAGAATGTTATTGGAGCATGGATTGTTCTCATGGTCTCTATCTTTGCTGAAAATGAGGAAAAGAGGAAGATGGAGATATAGGAGGGTTGACTAGGTGGAGAAAGAAGTTCCTAGAAGTGAGAGGAAGAAGCTATTACTAATACTAGACATTAAAAGAGAGAGGGAGGACAGAGGAAGTAAAGAGTGCCTCAGATTACTAGAAAGAGGTGGGCCTCCCTTGCACTGGAGTCTGTCTGGTCATTATTTTTCCAAGAAGCAGCTGAGGGACAATGGTCAGTTCATCCACTCCCTCCGTGCCTGGGTTTCCTTTTCTGCCTCATAATGAAAAGAGTGTCTGGCCTTCATACTCCATGGGCTGTTCTAAATTTACATGGAAGTTCTTTATGCAAAACATAAATATATGACATTGTGTTGCTTCACTGTGGACCAAATATACATATATCTTTGTTCATTCTTTTTACAGAATATACCTTAAGAATTAGCACAATCTCCCTCTCCCTCTCCTCCCTTGGTCTTAGTTTTTTGGTTCCCCCTCTCCACCTTATTAGCGGTGTCTCAGCAGTACATCATGGCTGGCTTTATCAGAGGCACTCCTTTGTCTTAGTGACTGCTAGACCACGTTTCTAGGTAGATCATTAAGCTTACTCTCCTCTCCTAAATCTGGAATGTAGGAGACTGACCTGGCTTATTCACCCTATGCCTGGCTACTTCTCAGATGTCTTTATGCCTGAAAAAACGTGGGCCCTAAGTCTACCCAAGGAACCAAGCTTGAATTTGACTTAAAGAATAAACAGATATTATGAAATACAACTGTACATTCACTTTACTCACAGTTCCACTGAAAATTATGCGTGCACAAGTGTGGCGTAGTTTGAAGAGAGGACTGTTTTTTTTTAAGTACCGTAAATTTGTCTATTTTTTTTTTTTTTTTTTTGCAGAAAACAGAGTATTTTTTAGGGTTTGTTCTTATGGGCATCATGATCATCATTGCCTTCAATTTTTAACTATGTGGTTAATCAATAAAAATATTTTTAGATACATTCACACATTTAGACCAAAAATTGAAAGTTAAAGAATTAGTCCTTTGGGGGGATATTTTGGGGGAAAAAAATTCAGTGACCACAAAGTAAGTATGAAAACATGAGGAGAGAATTTCTTCTAGTGGGCCATATAAAGACCTTAAAATAATCTCAAGCTTTCTTAATTTGAATGCTTATTTGCTATTCATATTTGAGTTCCCCATTGCAACCTCATTCAGATTAAGAAATAGAGTAAGTAATATGTGTATCTTTTCCCCCCCATGATTTGAGGAAGCACTAGGAAGACTGTCTTGATGAAAATATGTCAAAAGTCTGCCACAAAATCCTGAAAATCCACCATTAGAGAACTATTCTTGTGGGAGTACCAGCTCTCCAGGAGGGAGACATATTAAGCTGCTGTCAGTCAAGAACAAATATACAAGCCACATAGGAGCATCACAAAACACAGGCTCTGGAGTCAGATGGAGCTAGACTGAATTTGGCTTTGGCACTTACTAGCTCTGAGATTCTGGGCAAACTGCTTACCTTCTCTGAGTCCCAATTTCTTCATCTGTAAAATGGGGTTAATAATGGCTATCGCATGAGAGACTCAATTTAAATGAGCTGATATAATTGAAGAACTCAATGCAATACTTAGTTTAAAGTAGGCTCTTGGGGGGCACCTGGGTGGGTCAGTAGGTTAAGCATCTGACTCTTGATTTTGGCTCAGGTCATGATCTCAGGGTTGTGAGATCCCTGTGTTAGGTTCTGCACTAAGCATGGAGCCTGCTTAAGATTCTCTCTCTCCCTCTCCCTCTGCCTCTCCCCCTGCCACCTGCCCTCTCTCTCTCTTTAGAATAACTAACTAAATAAAGTAGGCTCTTGGTACGTTGCAATGATAATTAGCAATAGCAGTAATATTTAATTCAGACTGGGTTTGTTTAGCTTTGGAGGTACATGAAGACATTAAAGAGGTAGACAGATT